GTATGCTGAAGGATCGCGCATGCCTAAGATTGTACTTGCTCTCATGTAGAGGTGCTACATGTATGGCCGCTGTCATTGAAAATACTTTCAAACGTGCGCTCGCAAATGTCACTGTGATGCTCCCCTATGGATGGTAGGTTCGTTAGCGCCAACGCGTGCTGATATTCCATTTGCCAAGGCAAATGATTCGCATTGACCTTTTCTGAACGCGCCCTAGTTCTTGCATTAAGTAGGCAGGCAGAGCATTATGAAACACAGGTACAGCATAATCGATAACGGAGCGCACAGATGTGATGTAAAAAAAAACAAAGATCTCTCTGAGAAGCGCGGACTTTTTTAAGCTGGATGAGACAATAGAGCCTCTTAGCTGCCTTTTTTATCACTTCTGTGATGTGCGCGTTCCAAGATGGGTCAGCTGAAATAGTTACGCCAAAGAGTTTAGCATCAGTAACAACCTTTATGCACTCTCCTCCGATAACTACAGGAGGGAAATCATGACTGTCATCTTCAGTTCTGATTTTACAGAGTACAAAGTTGAATTTAAACTGTATAACAAAATGCTGATTGGACAAAACAAACGACAGTAACAGAACAATGTATGCAATTACAAGGAAAGTTTTAAATTGACATGATAGAGTTGATGATTAAGTATAGGTTGTGTATATTTCTGTCGCTCCAATACCCTACATAATTCCACCCCCTTTTCTTTCTGTGTTAATTTGAACTGACAAGAATGCAATTGCCAAGCTTCTGAAAAGCTTCTCATAGTAATAGGATACAATTGAATCCAAATTAATTTTAACACGAACGTTATAATTTGAAACAATACGAGAAAATTGAGGCAAGAATGATAAAAAACGCCGAGGCGAAAGAAACAATATTAAAAGTGAATCGATTAGGTAACTACTTTTGCACGGATCGAATCACTCTGTTTTTTCAGTTGTGCTTTAAGTTCGAGAATAAAAAGCATTTCAAAGATCAAACAGTCCGGTTTACTCAGACATTTCTCCAAAATCTTTAAAATTATTTCTCTGGTCTCAGGATCCTTTACATGCTCGTCCTTTACGTGATTGCCGATTGTTGATAGCTTGTGTTCCTCCACACGTCAATGTAACGGTCGGCTCGTGAAGCCGACATAGTCTGCAACACACAGACAACACTTATAATAATAAACAACGTTTTGTTGATTAACAATTGGAGCTTATTGTTCTTTCGGCTTGAATTGTCCTTTGATCTTCTGACTTGTGTAAACAACTGGACATCGACATCAATCTTTCGGCTGAGATCACCGAGTTGGTGTCTTACAACATTTGCTGATTTCTGGGCTTTGACCAGTAAGAAAATTCTGATAAGAGCATCATGTTCATCGGATACTTGTTGTTTAGCACGTACATCCTCGGTGACTTTTAATTCATTAAAATGTCTGA